ACATGAAAAACTAATGATTGTAAGAAAGGAATTAAACATAACGATAATACAATAAAGCTTTAATCTACCAATAAAATTACACATAGTCACATGATAAACTTTTTATATTTTTTGTTTAAAATTTGAAAAAGTGACCCGGCCGGGTGACGTGAACCGAAGAATCGAAGTTGCATGGCCTTAGTATCTATCGAACGAGCAAGGAATTCATGCTTAGGGCGGCTGGGAGTCAGATCTTAAGAGTCAATGCATTAATGGAACGACCTCTTAAAATAATTTCTTATCAATACGTTATAGCACTGGGGGTAATACTTGTATATAGAAATGAACTTCCGGGTATCGAACCAGTAGATCAGGCAATATTTCGCAAAGTTTTAGTAAAATAGAAAAGTTTGTAATTGAACACTATTTTAGGTATGGGGAGGGAAAATATTAGAAGCTTGCTGCTTCTTTTATAATAAAAAGATGATTAAAAAAAAGATATAAGTTCAGTTAATTTAGTCCATCTCATATTTATTATTACTTAACAAGTATTTAAAAAGAATTAATGTCGCAGTAAAACAGCAATAAAATTTTAACTTTTAATCGTTAAAAAAAAAAAAATAAGAGGTAAATATGAATGAATTTTTTTATTTTATTTCTGATTTTATATTTCGAACTTTGGCCTAAATAATTTTTCCAATGAATTCGCGGTTGTCATATCATTATTTTTTTTTTTTTTTTTTTAAAAAAAAAATAAACCTGTATAAACCTAGAAATAATAATTGAATAAAATAAAAAATAAAAATTATTTTTAAAATAAGTCTTTTTAAAAAAAAAAGTAAAAAATAGAAATAATAATTATTTTATATATTAAAAAATATTATTATATAATTATTGTATTTATTTTTATCTTTTTTATTACAATTTGTAACTTTATGTTATTTACTAAAAAAAAAAAAAACTATAGATGAGAATCCATAACTTAAAATAAATAAATAAATTAAGATTTTTTAATTTTGATTGTTATTTTTTTTTTTATAAAAATTATAATAACTAAAATAAAAATTTTATTCTTCAAATTTTATTATTCTATAAAGAAAGAAGAATAATTTAATTTGTTTTTAAAAATAAATAAATAAATCTTTTATCTTTTTTTTTAAACAAAAAATAATCAGCTTTTTTAAATATTAAACAATTAAAGATAAAATTATAAAAAGAAAAAATTGTAAAATGTTTTTTTAGAATTAGAATTATTAAATAAAATTACTTAACTTTTATAGATAAAAGATTAAATATTTATAAAAGAAATAGCAACAATTAAAGAAAAAATAATAAGACTTCATTTTAATTATTATTAATTTCTTTTATAAAAATTCTAATTACTAAAATAAATTACTTATTTTTGTAAATAATAAATTAAATTCTTAAATCTAAATTATTAAAAATAAGTATTTGAAAGTAAAATTTACCTTTAACTATATTTTTTAACTGCGGATTAATCAAATATTTTCTAGAAAGTTTCTAAATTATATTTATTTTAAAATGACACTTAACAATTATTTAAGAAGACATTCTTTTAAATTTGCTTTTATTTTAAATCTAATTTAATTTAATAAAATATTACTTTATTAAAAATCAATTTTTAACTTGTTAATATCATTATCATTTTCCTTTATAAAAATATTAAAAATAATAATAATATATATATGTAAAAAAAAAAAATATTGATTTATTTTTGTAACTTTTTTAAATATACAACAAAGATGAGTAATTAAAAAATGATAATCTAAACAAGAACAAAAACATTCGTAAAAAAAAGAATTCAAACGAAAATTTATGAAATTCAAAATTTTAATCTAAACCATTAAAATAAAATTACTATATAATTCATGGTTTACTAACGCCCGTGATGATAAAATAAACTTTCTTAGTAATAATTTTTTATTTTCCTTCACTATAAAAAATTTACACAACTTAATATTGCCCTGAGCTTCTAAATAATCTATAATCTATATTTAACATCTAAAGCATCTAAATATATAGAAATTTTAAAAAAAAATTATTTACCAAAATAACAAAATAATAATAACAATAACCAATATTTAGTGATGTTTTAACTAGGCTTTTTTTTAACCATGAATAGTTAATAATTTAATAAACAAATGTAATATCGATATGTTTGAATGTTAAATTAATTCAATGTTATAAATTATCATGATTTTCAGATGATACAGGTATACCCAGGTATTCAACTCCGATAGTAACCCCAGTAAAATATTTATCGACTTATTCACTTTTAACTTGTATCTGAAATTCAGATTTTATTTGCAATTTATTTTTTTATCGCAATATATTTCAGATATCCCAATTTCAGTCGCAACTTGATTAAAATTGGTAGAACGATTCCAATCCTATATTATTATTATTTTTTTATTATCGAAAATAATACCATACACATAACAGGAACAATTCAACATCTAGAAGACTCTATGAATGTTAATTCTAACAATAAAACACCCCGCCTCGACATATACAAATTATCAAATCAGATGCACAATCAAAAAGTAGAAATATTTGTAAAAAAAATAAAAAAAAAAATCTCTTTTTCACAATATAATTATTATTGAACCATAATATCCATCCAACATTTTAAAATTTTAATTTTGAATTTTTTAATGGCGCCCAATTTTTTAAACTCTTCAATTATTTTGATATTACTTTTTGACAGTTTTATATCCATTTTTGAATTCGATTTAATAGACAAAGAAAGTGGAATACATGGTTTCCTGTTCGCCCAGCGTTCCAAGATAGACCTTAATCCCCATTGAAATGTTGTTTCCGGAAATACTTGAACTCTCAAAATAACTAATAATTTATAAAACTTTTTAGGTGAAAATTCTACAACAATCTCTAATAATTCACGCTCATTTACAGGGAAATCACCAAAAATCATCTTTATGGTTTCTAATTGTTGACAAGCATTAAAAATCACTTTTAGTGATTTTATGTCTCCATCTGGAAATACAGTGCATAATGACCTTAGATTTGGACAAAATTTGCCTATATCCAAATTTAATGTGCCATCAATAATTTTGCAAAGAATAAGATCATTTAAATTCTTTCCATTATTTTCCAAGAATTTAATTAGATATTCACCATCTGGACATCCACTTTCAAATTTTAAAATCTGCAATTGCGGAAAGACAGAATATTGAAGTTTTTTAAAATCTTTTAAACCACCTATTTCGTTAGATAATGCTAATGAAAGTTCTTGTAAATTCGAAAGTTTCGAAATGAGTGACCATGGTATACGATAACGTCCTTGAGATATACATAACTTGGTTAATGTATTAGGAAAATTTGTAAATGGTTGACTTTTATTTGCCCATAAATCACAAAAGTTCAACTCCAAGCACTTTATATGTTTTTGAACAGAAACTAATTCTGATAATCCATTTGAGACGCTATATCCAAAAATTATCTTTAGTGATCGTAAATTGTGACAAAGTTGAGATAGTTTATAAAAAATATCAGGATAAAGATCTGAACCACACTTCAATTCAGTAAGATCTCTTAAACAATCATCTTCTCCAGGATAGTTGAAACATGGTAAGTTTAAGTTTTTACGAGTGAAAAAGCATAAATGTTTAAGAGAGGTTTGATTCATTAACATTTTAAATATTTCCCGTGCTATCACGATAAAATGTTGATTTTTTTCAAAATCTTCCATATTAATATGATGATAAATAGGAAGAATAAATCTTATAATTGATTGACAAATTTCATCAATCCAAAGACTCTTGATAAACACCGTGTAATGAAATAATGGGGGTCTTGAAGCTGAGGCCGAAATTGTAACTCCATTCTCAGATAAAATAGTTTTTGAATTATTAGGAAGACAAATGAGTAAAGTATTAAAATTTTGAATTTCTCTCCAAAAAATTCGAACAGAAGTTTCACACCAAAATCGGCTTACAAGTAAGCACGACTGTAAATCATCATCTTCCAAATATTCAAAAATTTCATTTAAGCAGTCAGCAGGGAGGTTACGAGGCATTCTGTATGAAGAAAAAGAAAAAGAAAAAAAAATAGGGGAAAGAGTTTACTGAGAAATGGAATTTTAACCAAAAAAAGCTATTTATAAACAATGTGGTATCGCTGATCATTTGACGATCATTTCAGGTATTATTATTTTTCTTCTAATTGCATTCGGGTTGAATATTTTTTTCATTGATGATATTTTTTTCTCCTCGACCAACATCATCTTATTTTTTTTTTTTTTTTTTTACGTAATTTCTTTCGAGTTGGATCGCTAGTTAAAGATTTATAATTAAAGATATTTTTTTTTTTAGGCAAGTTAGATCGCTTTTGGACGTAGCGACTGAATGATTTCTTTATTTTATGCTTTTTTTTTTTTACTATTTTTACAAAATAATTCGGTGCTCATTTTTGACAACTTTCAAAAAAATTATCAACTATTTTTTTACGAAATTTTCAGATAATTTCAGATGGTTTTTTGTATCTGTAATCAAACACTAAGCATTTCAGAATCAATTCCATACATATTTCACAATCAATCTGGATTGCATTAAAGATAGAATCCTTTTCCAAAAGATGGTAAACCTTTAATGATGATGATCATAAATCCTTGGCTATAAGAATGTAGTAATATACTTTGGATAAATAGAGTGCAGTGCAAAGGGTCTAGATTATAGTTGCCTATCCTATTTCAGTTCACATACTATATTTCAAATCCCAAATCCGTTTAATTTATAATATATATTTAGGTATTTCATGACCAATACTCCACTTACAAAATAAAATAATACGATACTGCTGTATTCATTTCTTTCGTTTATGTATTTATAAACAATTTTAAATGTAAGCAGAAGGTATTAATTGATTAAAAATGACAAAATATTCATTTAATGTTAATAAATTAATCAGTGTTGCCTAACGTCGGCGCTCTACACTTTCGCTTGATCAATACTTTAAACTCTATAAATGCAAAGTACTAAATTCTATTTCATTAAAACTGCGCAAATTACGAAACAATACATAAAAATTAAATTATAAAATATTAATAAAATCAGAAATTAAAAATAAAAATAATAAACGATGTTACATATGCGAAATTAAAAAGTTAAAACAAGCGAAGTTATCGCGAAGTGTAAAAGGGAGGATTTCGAAGGAAATGTAATCAAAGAAATATCACAAGGGCGAGCGTGGATATTGTGCTGTTTAAGGATTTCTAGCTCGTATATATAAAAAAAATAATTAGGCCAGCCTGGCGTTTTGTCATACTGGGGCCCTGACAACCTGGCGCCTTGACATCCTGGCACCGTGCCATTACAGCAGTAGTATGATCATCAAAGCATCCATTTCTGTCTGCAACCCAAGAGGATGAAGTAGGTTCCTATTCAAAAATCTATTATTTAAAAATTTAAGAATATGAGACTTCGCACCAAAATTAAATAAAGTGCATCTTTTGCTTTTTTTTTCTGTCACAGGCTTACTCTTCTCGTTAGTATACTTTCCACCTTTTCCTTTCTCTGGTCTAACTTCCGTAAACATTTTTCGTCAGCATAAATAACACCTTTTCACTTTCTTGATAATAAAAACCGCATGTCGCAATTAGGGAGTGTTTCTGCGGGTTTCCGTCTGCTGGTAAGGGTGAGTCGGACTA